TGCTGCATGCCATTCTTCCTCCCCAGATGCAAGACTCTACACTTGCTTTTGTAATAAACCAGCAATCTCACAGTGAGGGTTGGCACACATTGGAGCTGCTGCCTGGAAAGATGTGGGCTCTCCCTCCCTGGAGGTGTTCAGAATTTGGTGACCAGACCCCTGACCTGTGCACTTTTTTCATCCAAAAGCTGAGCTCAAGGGTGAAGTAAGTGAATATCTAGATCTCTGTCCATTGCAGAACGAGGAGTACCATCCTCACCCCAAGAATACCTCTAGATGGGAAGGACCCTAAACTCAAAGAAAGCTGGCATTTGTTGTCAAAGGAAAACTTACAGGCAAAGAGCCCAAAATACACCTCTGAGTGTACATCTGCTGCCAGAAAAGCAAACGGATGGAGCTGGAAGAGAATGCACTGACACTGCATTACCGTAACGAACAGTACCTTCCCTCAGTCTTCCTGTGCCCCTGGAGCTCACTTGATTTTAAGGATCTAGGAACTGAAGGAGATGCAAGACAGCATAAGGAAGCAATAGAAGATGGACTGAACTACTGCTCACGACAGCTCCAGCGTTCTATCCACTGCTCCCAGCCATATGCTTTTGACTCTTGTTCTTGACTCTTACTACTGTCAGTGTTAACGGTCACCTCACCCCAAGATGATGCAATTCACCTCAGTGAGCTGGTTCCAAATTAACTGAGCAAAAAAGGCAGTTCACTTTTGTCAAGCTCAGATTGCTGGAATGGCTCAACCAAAGACCAGGTCACTGCCAGAGCTGTTCGGTCCCAACAGCTGCAGAGCAGCCACACTCCCAATGGATGCAAATAACTGAGGACAGAGCACACAGCACAATTTTCACTTCATTACAGCTCACAATGCAATCCCATAATGTCCGCGAAGGGAAAATGTCAACGTCCACTTCAGAGTATTTCATTTCAAAAGGCTCACCTGCTTTGTGAAACCCACTGCCATAGAGCGAACACTGACATCTAAAACTTCACGAGATTTTAAATAAAGGATCACAGTTTGCACGTGTAATAAGAAGAGCCAGTGAGAATAGGGAACGCTGACGAAAATAAACCAGAAGTTACAAGAAAATTGAAAGATAAAAATCAAAAATTCAGAGAGAAAGGCGGCTTAAGTCTTCCAGAAAATCAGTCCCTCGGGGGAGGTGAGCCCATAAGTGTGTGCACAGCTCCTTTGGTTCTCTTCTGAAGAGCCCGTGTGAGCTGCTGGCACAGCCAGCAACAGAACAGGGGGCAGAGGGGGAGGCCGAGCAGCAGTGGTTCACACAGCTGAGGTTTCTGCAAACCTTCACTTCCCCACTTCTTCTGACGTGCAGAATTCAACGCAGTCTGCATGAGGCACTGGTGAAGCCATTCTCAAAACAGGCAACGACCGCTTCGTAGTCATCTTAGGTACTCCCCTGCTCGTTAATTACTCTGATAATTAAATTAACCCTTAGAGCAGTAGCTCTCCACTGAGTTTATGACCAGCTAATTAAATTCTGGGTCTCAGAAACATTTTGAAAGAGAAGAGCTCCTTCCCTTGTTCTCCAGTTGCATCCTAGAAGGGATTTCTCCACCACAAAGGTATCACTCTCAAATACAGGAATGGCTCTCAAATAAAGGAATTATCCTCAGCTCCCTCTGCCTTGCTGCCCAGTTCTGCCCTGGAAGCACACCTGCCTTCTCCCCATTGCCTGCCTTACGTGCAGCCTCACCTGCTGGTTACTGGGAGAATAGGGGGTTTCTCGCCTCGAATTTCCTGTCCCCGACTCAGGAACCTGCAAGAGAGGAGACAAAGCTCGAGAATTACTGTGCAGCAGCAACTTCCACACTCTGATATCCACCCTGAGGGCAACTATGGACCACTTCACCACAAGAAAGCAGAGTTAGCGTTGGCCTAACGGCAGGCATCATATTGCAAAAAGCACTGGAAACAGCAAGAGAACTGTATGAAACATCAGAGCTCAGATCGCATCCGAACATCCTGCACAGCCAACGACACCGGGTTAAGACTTCTGCCTTGCAAGGATTTCTGGGAATCCTCTCCCAAAAATCGAGAGAAACTTCATGTCTTGAAGCAACAAAAGCCACTCGTAACCAAAAGGAGACTCTTTCACAGCCACATCCATTGCAGCTGGCCTGCAGCTGCAGAGCAGGGCAGAGCACAGGAAGGACAAAGCTCTCACCCCTTCTGCAGGAACCCCCACAGCAGCATCACAAGGGCAGAGTCCCAGTAGCTGTCGTGCTGGTTAAGGAACACTACTAAAAACCATTTTAGATGCCTAAAAGTGGAAATGGGTCCTTCGAGATTTCAACAGTTCTTGAAGCAAATCTTTGGGTTTTGCAATTATTATTGTTACTCATGCAGTAGTGAATCCTGTTAATGAAACTCAGGTCAGCTGTGGGCAACGGTATATATTTCCATATACCAAGCCAGGGGATGGAACCTAAAGCTTATACTGGAGAAAATATCTGATCCTTCCTCTCACCACAGTGACAGCACACGGCAGTCTCAAACCCATCACTTCCATGGCACCACTGCAGTGCTCCTGCTCTGTTTGGCTCCGTCATCCTCTGCCCAAAGCCTCCACGTGCTGTTCATCCACCCACCGAGGAGGGTGCTGCTCTGCAAAGAACTCATCCTACAAAGAAAACCCTTCAGCTCCCTGGCCCACCTGACACAGCTCTGCTGCCAGCACACAGGAGAATAGATGATGGGGAGCAGTCTTTTTACGACAGCACTGTGGAATCAGATTAGCTTAAGCTAACTGTGACAGCCACCTCCTGACTGATGATCGCTGGATGTGGATTAATCCACCTTTTCTTTTCCACTAACTATAAATCTGGATATGTATCAATTCAAAGCACAAACTTTGACTTTTAATACACTGAGAGGTTGCAGACGTTCTGTCAGATGCCTTGCTCTATTTTCAAATGCCTACACATGTGGAAAAGTCAAACTGCCACCACAGAACTGGGCTACGACCACCTAAGACAACTACAGCTGGCTGATCAGCCTTGTTTCCTCCCATCGCTGTATCTGTGGCAGGAGGGTGCTGTCTGCATGCGGTTCTTCGGCTTCTCTTGCTGTCCAGATCCCCAAAAAGGCCAAGATGAAGAGGAGAGCAGTGCTCACCCACAACACCTTTGGGCTGAGTCCTCCCGGCAATGTTGTGGGTTACAGGAACTTAAATGCAAGCAGATTCCCCACAGCAAGAAGGGATGTTCTCTCCTGAAATCTAGAAGTCTGATACACTGCAAGCAGTCCTTCAAGGAACAGCACGCCCTTGTGCTGGAAGTTAGCTACCTCAGCTACACTCTTTGCTTGCAGAGGTCTAAAACATCCGAGCTTGCTGGAGCCCACAGACACACGTGACACCATCTCACCGCAGCTCTCTGCTCCCCCAGAACACTGGAACACAGGAACACTGCTGCTCCTGCAGGCTGCCCATGATGAGAGGAGGTCCTCCCCAGCCCCACGTCTCGGCCTCCTGACGGAGGGCGCATGCACAGCCGGTATGTTAGTGCTGGAGGACGACCACAGTCAGACAGCACACACACATCACGTGCGTTAGGTGGGAACAGCCCAGGCCTCGTGCTGCCTTTGCACGCCCCGTGGTTTAGTAGGAGCTGCGTGGCTCCTGTGTGACCGCATGCTGCACGCCGTAAGAGCGCTTGCCTTGGAGTAAAGGTTGGTCTTCAGCACTCCCTCCCTGCCATAGCCCAGCGGGGGGCCCCCCAGGCAGGCCTTGCCCGCCGCCTTCCCCCTCCGGTTGGCCACCACGAAGGGGTTCTCGCTGAAGAGGATGGGCTGGGAGTCGATCATGCACTCTTGCTCTGGTGCCTCTGGCTCCCGGGGAGGGGAGCAATGGTTGGGATCCCGTTCGTCTACAGGGGGCTTTTCTGCCCCGCACGTGCGCCGGCAGGGCGACGCGGGGTCCTGGGGAGGGCCAGGCTCACATCTGGTGGTCAGGGATGCTGCTGCTGCTGCTGCTGCTGCTGGGGAGCAGTCCTGGCCGTCCTGTGCCACCGGCAAGGACAGCATAGTGCGGTCAGTCCCCGTGCCGGAGGTGGCCCTATCACAATGAACGGGCTGTGAGGAAACAGAAGTGTCAGAAAGACATGAAGAGAGCAGGGAAAAGGAGAGGAAGAGAAAACACAGAGCTGGAGGACAGGGGAGAGAGGAACTCCAGTAGTAATGCCCACAGCACCATTCCACCTTCTACTCCATCGCCAGTCCTGTGAGCCCTAGTGCTGCTTGTAAGAGAGGACCTTGCTGTCACACACGATCCACACACTGAGTTATCAGCAGGCTCACGCACACTCCCTGCATTTTTCCAGCTCTCATTTACACTCCTATTTGCATTTCAGCAACTCTGCTGCTCTCCAACAAAAGCAACTCCAAGAGCAGCACATGGCCTTCCCCCTCCCGCAGCATTCTCAGCTCCACCACCACACACACTGCCAAACACCATCTGTCTCACCCCAGCTTACTTCCACGTACCCCCAGCACACACAATAACATAAATCTCTCCTCTTGCTCCACTGAGCTCCCACACAGTCACGCCACATCCCTGTTCTCCATGCAGATCCGTCCCATCTGCACGCACACGCTCGCTGTTCTGCGGGCCCATTTCATCGCTACGCACTCGCGCAGCAGTAACGGCTAAGCAGGGGGTAACAGCACAGATCCCTTCACACGCTCGTTCTGCACGGAACCCATCCCAGACGAAGCACTGACCTTTTCTCCTTTAGTACCATAAAAGAGTGTTTGTTACCCCACCGAAGCCTTCAGCAGCGAAGTGGGGATAATGGGAGAACAATGCTGCAGCCTCCTCCTCCCAGCTGCCGGCGGCGCAGCAGAAAGACCCTTTCAGCTCAGAGCACATTCCCCAGTTCCTGTGTCACGGCAGCGCTCACCAAAATAGCTCTGGTGGCCGGGTGGGCTGCTGGCTTACAATGGCAGCTGAGAGGCTCAGGAATTCCTGCTGCCCTCCCCCAGCCCTCACCCCCACCCCAACCCAACGCAGCGGATGGCAGAGCTGCTGCTCAGATCCTATTTCTACAGACACTGAAGTCTGTGCTACCCCCAGAAATCTTGCTACTGGACTGTATCCCTTCCCAATGCAAAAGGCTCCTATCAAAAAAATCCCCCTCCTCCCCACCAAAATCCAACATCCTTTTCCCAAGAGTACCATAAAGTATCCTAATACAAACTTACATTAGGCTAAAAGTGCTTTCAGGAATGTTGCCCATTTGTGGATGCACTCATTAGAAGAATGACAGCAGTCCTCCAGCATGAGGTGGGTTTGCCACCCAGCAGCCGTGTCACCCTGACACTGCTTTTCCTTGCCAAGCAGACAGCAGAGATTATCACTCATTCCAAGTGATCCCACAGCACCAAAGCTCACTTTGCTCACGCAGACGGTAAAAAAGTAAATGCTGCTTTTAGGGCACTGTGGAGATGGGCATCTGCCCAAGGCTGCACAAGGGCTGGTGGAGCTCAAAGTCCCGTTCTGATGATGGACATGACTGGAGCTGAGCTTCACCCACTCCTCGCATTCATCTCCATCACTACTGCATGCGTCCCGGTGCAGGATGCCCTTCTCCATCAGCTCCGCATGGATTATTTTTATCAGACGAGCAACAATTTCTATTTTGGGGAGTCAACAATTCTGGCAATGCAGTGTGCTTTTCCCAGCCTTGCTCTGTCACTCTACACTCCAGCACAGAGAACAGGAATATTTCACTTTGCGCTCTCCGAGCAAATACAGAAGAAATGCATTTGCAGTTTTGACCCATCGCTTTGCCTCAGATGCTAACACAAATCTAATCTGAAAATGAACTTGTGTAACAGAGAGAGAACTAGAGGGAATGGCTTCAAGCTGCGCCAGGGGAGATTCAGGCTGGATGGTAGGAAATACTGCTTTTGTGAAAGAGTGGCCAGGCACTGCAATGGGCTGCCCAGGGAGTGGTGGAGTCACCGACCTGAAGGTGTTCAAGGGACGTTTGGATTTTGTGTAGAGGGACGTGGTTTAGTGGGAACTATTGGTGATGGGGGGATGGTTGGACAGGATGATCTGGAAGGTCTGTTCCAACCTTGGTGATTCTGTGATCAGCTACAGAGAGAGAACCATTGGCCAGGAATCGAAAGCTTCAGACTGGAAAGCACAGATTAATTAACCAACAGCGGTGACCTGTTACTGATGGACGTAAAGTCAGCTTCTTTTCTATGGTCCAGAAAGCAAAACGAGACTTTAAGTGTTTTGCTGTGGCTTGGCACAGTCATTCATGGGTACAGTTTCCAAGCCTGTAATATCCAGAAAAATGATAGACTATAACACAGCACCTTTGCTACTGTGATGGTGTTATCCTGACTTCTGAATGCAGTACTGCAAACACTGCAGTGCTGTGAAGCTGCCACTGCAGAGGGCATCACTGAGAGGAGCCCTTTCATGCAGCCTTCCACAAAAGCCCTTCAGCTGCACAAACTGCACAAACACAGTTTTGCACGGCAAAAGCCTTCAGGACTCCTACTTACAGAACAACCTGCACAGCAGTACAGATCAACCCAAGACAGACAAACATCTGCCCCTTCTCTGGACATTGCTCTTGGGGCATCCCCAGGAGAAATTCCACTGCAACCTACAGCAGAGTCATGACAGAGATTGACCCTTAGCATACATCCTTCTGCTCAGCAGTGTGGAGAGTGGCTCTGCACGGCCTTGAAAGGCGTTACACAGCAGCAGAAGACATGCAAGACAGCTCAGAGGAGAAAGTGCTCGGTGTGAGAGCTGCCAAAGCACAGACAGAAACAGGGTAATACTGTGGGAATGGGGCAATAGCATCAGCCATCTTAATTCAGGCATGCTGTTTGCAGAGAGACAACCTGCTGATTGAG